TTAAGACTATTATAGACATGAAAATGAGCTCTGTTCTGATTGGCTGCCCTGTATTATACCTGAAGCAAAAAGGAGTCCCTTTCAGAAAAGTCACATATATTTCTTTTTTTTTTTTCTGCACACTTCACAAGTTAAAAATGTGCTATTATATGTGAAAAAAATAAAAAATACACATATACATCACATGAAAATATATGAAAAATGCAACTTTTCTTTAAGGGGCTGGGCTGAAACACTTCTAATAACTTCAGTGTGAATGGATGGGGCTAGACTGCTGTAGGCTGAATAGGCATATATGTGTAAATGTACTGGTTTTCATGAGATCACAGAAACACTACATTCAAAGTGGGCTGTTTTATAGCTTAGTTGTCGCATATGGACTGGGAAGCTAATGGGTTGTTTAGAAAGAACAGTATTTATAATCTCTTTTATTTCAAAAAAGTGAAAAAAATTCTGTTTTCCTTTATGGAGACCCTTTAGGAACCCAAAATATGATTCTATTTCATACGCTACCCTGTATCATATGTCCAACAGGGGTGAGCAATATGGTGAAAATACAACAATATCACAATACTCATGCTAATGAGACACTTTCCCGATAAATGATGTGTCATTATATTTTTTGAGGTTTTCTGATGACACAATGCACCAGCAGTGCCACATTTAAAATTCAATGTACAATGACATTTTTCACTTACTGCACAGCACTACATCCAAACAAGCAAGGCCATTTGTGCACCTTCTTTTAGGATTCCATCTCTTGACAATAGAGTAAAACTTTAGGCAGCTATGCCACTGGGGAACCTTTTCCAAACCTCTTTTTTAACGACACATGCAATTGGTCAGTATTATCAGTACTGGTCAGTATTGTCAGTATTATACATAGTATACAGCCACTGAAACACTGACCATTCAGATGTGGGTGAGTGGTACAGCTTTTTAATAGATTGATACTTGAGAACATCTTCATAATACATGTATTACAATATTTAATTCTTCTGAGGCTTCATAAGGTGGGGCTGACCTAACTCATTAGTGGTGCCACACAAAATATTCTATTAAAAACAGAGTGTAATGATTTTAAGTGAACATTTCACACAGTACACTGCATTATATTCCTATCAATCAGGATTGATTTTGCTCTGTTTGTAATGAAACATCCTGTTCTTTAAACTGTTCCTTAAACACTGCACATATCCATGATGCTCAGAAAAGTGTACTGTGACGTTATTTATCCTGATAACGATAAAATACTGTCATACTGTCCTTTTGTAATAAGCGTAGGTTCTAATTAATTAAAAAACAGCCCAGTGAATCAGCTGTGAACATTAACAGCAAGAGCCGTTAAACCAACAGGCAGAACAAACAGCACAACGATCAGTATCTCCAGACACACACAGAGAAAAAGGCTGTTGTCTCTAATTTTGTTTGCCCTCTTGTTTGTATATTCTGTTGCCATGACAGGCCAACTGTGTCAAATCTTGTGTGGTCTACAGCTCACACCTAGTACATTACTAGCCAACACTAGCCCCCCAGTGTCCAAAAACAGACAACAGATGGAAGCAAAACCAACAAAACAGCCTCCGATCAGTGAATGAACGCTATTGGTGGACGACATTCATGCTTTCAATTCAGTACTGTGATGAATCACTGTGACCAGCTTTTCCAACTCAGCTCAACACAGACTGTAAACAGAATGCTGCTGAGTTATATCATAGACCTGTAGATTATTACTGTGTATTATATCATGTAAAACTACCACATGACTGAGAAAAACAGTATGACCTACAGGCTGCTTTTCGTGACGGGGAATTCCACCGATTTTTCAAAATTGTAGTGGTGATAAAAAACAGACATCTGAAGCATTTAATGTATTTAAAAGCTACAGAAAGCTATTACAAAAATTGTTACAAATATGTTAATAAGGTGATATGGATTTGGCTTAACCATGCTGTTTAAAACAAATGCACCATAGGGTGCTGTATAGAAAATGGAACCCAAGTAAAACATATTTTTTCAGATTTACCACTATACTATTATCAGCATTAAAAGCTTTGAAGACACATGTAGGTTCACTGGTCATTTTTGATGGCAAATAAAATGAATATACTTGTGGTAGATACTGAAACCACTAGTTCTTATCACCACCACTATAAAGAAATCTGAATTCGGTGCATCAGACATTTCACATTAAACCACTCTGATTGACTTTTACTTGCACTTCAATGAACTTGAAAAATTAGTGGAGTTCTCCCCAAACATACCTAACAAGCTGGCACCAGCTCTCCCCTGAAATTTGCTTTACAGTAAATTGTTGACTGAGCGAAACATTTTTCTTATATTTTATTTTTTTACTTTCTGACTTTTGTGTGACTTATTACCATTTTTACATCAATGGCTATATCTGTGCTGTAGACCCCTGCTCGCTGTCACCTCCATTGTAAAGAAAATATGTCAGTAAGTTTACAATAAACCAGTCCACACCAAACCAACCTGAATG